ACCTGTGGCTCGCTTGTTTACACTGGAACACAGGCCTGACCAGCGCTATTAACCTCATTCATTATGGATTGGGAGGAAGTAAATATTTCAACATTCATTTATGGCATTTCAAAAATTATCCATCTTTAAGCGAGAAAATAACGTCAGAAGGACGCTGCTGTTTTATATCGCGGTTGACGTCAGTGGGATAATCGTGTATAGAGTGTGAGAAATCAATAAGACAGTAGTCTATCGTAACTAGGTGACCGCAAAGATGCACAACGGAAAAAGTGCTTTTTCTTTTCCTAAACTGAACATTTATCGAAATTAACAAAGAGTGACTTCATGTAAACTGTAACATAATAAAACTAACTTTCACGAAATATGATAACGTTAAAGTGTATTGGTATAATTAGTGTGCGCACTTTTCTGTTGCGCAGTTTTCCGATTGCCCATTTTTCTAGGGACACTTAACGAGAAGTGCTAAGGACGATACTGTATCGGATCGAGGTTGACGTCAGTAGGCTATTAGTAAGTCGAATCGAAGTTTATATTTTCTCTACTTGTCCAGTATCGCTGTAAAAGTAAATGAGCTGAAACTAGGATGAGAAAGAAATAAGCAAACGCTGAGATAACGAAACATGGCTTATATGTGGTCAAAACATCAAGCGATTGTCAGGGTTCATGCACTGATATCATAAACAAATCCCAGGAGTCTCCCAGGAAATTAGTTTTCTTCAGTGGGTTCGATCGGATAAAGCAAAAGAAAAATCTTGGGATTTCCAGGAACCATGAATTTTATGACGGCGCATGAACCTTCGATTGTGTGTGTGTGTGTGGCTAACACAGTGGCAACTCGCCCATTATGATGGATGTCCTTGTGTGACCAGTATGCAATGGAACCTCGGGTTAACAACACTAACACAGAATACCACAATGTCACAAACTTGAAATATGCCAATATCGAATGCTTCTCGTATATACGCCCCCTCCCCCCATATACACACAAGTATTTTTTAACGGTATCCATAATATTGAAAGTTTTAAACTTGGATATAGTTGACTTGCCATGTTTGAGAACCAATAAGACACAATACCAGCTCTGGCACCCATACCCGCCAGTCTGCGACCAAGTGACTCACACACAAGGTCACACACCCCCACACACCCAGCACGTGAGAGAATTATCAATCACGATGACTAATGTGTCTTGCGCCGTGTCAACGATGTCATCCAAGGCCAGTCTCCCGACCACGGGGGGCTGGGGGTCGGGGGAAAACATCAAGCGGCGGACACAAAGCAGACATTACCAATCATAACAGGCCGGGAGTTAACAGGGACGGGGTTAGGGTGGGGGGGGGAGTAACTCACTGTGTAACAGTCGGTGTAACATTGCTTTAAGACAGCCACAAAAATATTACTTTAAATGTTGAATTTTAGTTTTTTAAGCCTGTTTTTTTCCTTTGATTTTTATAGATCAAATCTTCGTAGTATGGACGCTATCTAATATGACTAAAACAAATGATCAACAATTTCACACATGCAATTTAAAATTGTCATGTGTTGGTCGCGTGAAAATGTAATTATGGTAATTAAATTCAGTCAAAAAATCTGGGTGTTGTGTCCTACACACGGCGCAGTACTTTGGTCTCCATCTGCTGGTCAGTTAGTACAGCTTTCTGATCACCGTAAAAATGTGTAACATAAATTTATGCTAGTTAATTAGTCCAGCTTTCTGATCACAATTAAAATGTATGACATCAATTTATGCTGGTCAGTTAGTCCAGCTTTCTGATCACCGTAAAAATGTGTAGCATCAATTTATGCTAGTTAGTTAGTCCAGCTTTCTCATCACCGTAAAATGTATGACATCAATTTATGCTGGTCAGTTAGTCCAGCTTTTTAATCCGCATAAAAATATATGACATTTTATGTCGGGGTAGTTTTTCTTGATTTTATAATAATACTTCATCTTCAAAACAAACTTTGTTTATATTCGTAAAAATCGGTATCAAACCTATACTTAAGTATTACCTTGAAATCAAAGGTAAGTTTTTAAATTAAATTTAAAAAAAAAAACAACAACCTTGAAATGTGTGAGGAAATAGCCAACAGCGATGATAGACATTATGTGAGCAGGATAGTATGCATACAAACATTTGTGTAGGAACTTTAGTGATGGACGGTTTACTCAGGACAATTGCTGTAGGACATTTTATACAACACTTCAGTGGCTAGCACACGCCCACTACAGAACTGATTGACAGATACACCGCTCACTTTATAAACTTTTCACATGGCAAACGTGTATTTATTGACTGATGAGTCTAATGGTTTGTGTGTGATCTCCATTGAAAAACTGCACGCAGGTGAATGTATCACATCAAGCTAAAGCTTTAAATCTCGTCTATATCTTTACCTGTGTGAAACTGTTAATTTTTTTTTAAAAAGGCGATATACAGGGGTGGGGGAGAGATGGGTGGTGAAAAGAAGATATATTTAGAATTTAAAAACTTAAAAATGCGGAAGAGTATGAATATTTACAAAGAGGGCGATGTTAAATTTTCGTTTGTAAATCTATAAAGCAGGTAAACAATTCACATATGTGGAGTGAGAGGGGGTAACAAGGCACGAAGGTAAGTGGAGGGGGGGGGGGCACAGAGTTAAACGAGTCCCCCACATAAAGCAAGTGTGGGGAGGCACAAAGATTTAACGGGTGTCCCCCACATAACTGTCACCCCGTGCATGTCCTCACCTGTAAATCTGCCGTGACAGGCAGTAAACCTGGGGGACGGGGCAAAAAGGTAAAGCTATATACATCAAATCCCGTGGGGATTAAACCAGATTTGGCCTGGCTGACGTACGTGGGGCTGGGGTTAGGAAAGTGACGCTCTCCGTGTTGGCTTGTGGGCTCGGGTCTAACTACACGTCGGTCGTACAGTGAACGTCTGACATATATCAGTCATACATCTGTCATCAGTCAGTCATACATATGTCATCAGTCTATTATACATCTGTCATCAGTCTGTCATCTATCGGTCATACATCTGTCATCAGTCAGTCATACATCTGTCATCAGTCAGTCATACATATGTCATCAGTCTATTATACATCTGTCATCAGTCTGTCATCTATCGGTCATACATCTGTCATCAGTCAGTCATACATCTGTCATCAGTCAGTCGTACATCTGTCATCAGTCAGTCATACATCTGTCATCAGTCAGTCATACATCTGTCATCAGTCAGTCATACATCTGTCATCAGTCAGTCATACATCTGTCATCAGTCGGTCATACATCAGTCATCAGTCGGTCATACATCTGTCATCAGTCGGTCATACATCTGTCATCAGTCAGTCATACATCTGTCATCAGTCCGTCATACATCTGGCGTCAGTCAGTCATACATCTGGCATCAGTCAGTCATACATCTGGCATCAGTCAGTCATACATCTGTCATCAGTCCGTCATACATCTGGCGTCAGTCAGTCATACATCTGGCATCAGTCAGTCATACATCTGTCATCAGTCAGTCATACATCTGTCGTCAGTCAGTCATACATCTGGCATCAGTCAGTCATACATCTGTCATCTGTCGGTCATACATCTGGCATCAGTCAGTCATACATCTGTCACACATAAAGTATGTGTAACACAACTAACGTGAGTCATACATAAGTCAGTTTTCATCAGTCATGTATCAGACACGCATCTAACATCAGTCATATATTCTTTATACATCCAACATCCGTCATATGGCCATTATCAGTCATACATTTCTCATCATTCAAATATTTAAAAACAACTAAAACAATTACTGTCTTGAATCCAACCGCAGCACTTAAACACTTTACTACCCGTTACCGCTAGTCTAAGACCCTCCCTCACACACCCCTCCCACCCAAGTTTTAATAAACTGTCAAGTGGTGGGCGTACAAAGTGTACGTTTACACGTACACAAGGTCATAGTTCATTCAAGTTTTTTTTCTTTGATTTAACAAAAAAGAAAAGATGATTTAAAAAAAAAAGATAAAAAAAGAAACAGCCAGTATTGAGTTGTTGGACACTCCCTACCCCTAGAACCCGCCCGACCCCCCCCCCCCCCATACACCAGAATCTAGATCTACCTGAGTGTATTTTATTTGAGTAGATGTGTTTGCACAACGACTTGCTAGCAGTTAAAAAAAAAATTATTTCTAGTGTGAGATACAATTTTTAAAATAAGATTTGAGAGAGGATGAGTTTCAAAAATGGAATGTGCCGAGTGATAGGCTGATTCTATGTTCAACATTTTTTCTATGTATTGATAAAAAGGATCACATTAACCTATTTCTAAATATTATATGAATTTGTTATATATATATTATATATATATATATATATATATATATATATATATATATATATATATATATATATATATATATATATATATATGGCTGGAAGACTAGTATGTTTTCCCCCGACCCCAAGGCAGTTTCTTCCAGGCATCTCTTTTGGGGGGGGGGGGCCCCAAATCCCCCCCCCCCCCCCGAACGAAATGAAATTTATATAATTTATATAGAAAATATATACTTTTAACAGTGTCCGCCCCCCCCCCCCCGAAGAAAGTCTACCGCCCCCCCCCCCCCGAAAATTTCAAGTGCCCCCCCCCCCGGAGAAAAAAGTCTGGAAGAAACACTGCCCCCAGGTGAAAGACATATACTTGATATACAGGTGTGCGTTTTTATACTGTGCTTATATATATACACATACATATACAGATGTATAACATGCTAATGTAATAATTAGAGTAATACATATCACAGTAAAACTTCGCAGTAAAAGAACTAAGAATGTAGTGATGGCATTGATTACACAGATCTGATAGCAGATCTTCAAGGCCGACGGGAAGATGAAAAGATAGGCTTTTTATTACAAGAGAGCGATCCGAATACATGGTGGTGAGGAAACAAAGAGAGGTAAGCCATGGAGTTCTGAGTACAGTGGTGTGCCCTTGGATAGTGAAACGACAACTTACGGTAGGGTTGGTCAGCAGCTTGCCGAAAGTCAGCTCCCCTGCTTTGGACCGGATCCGGAAGAGCTTTCGAGGCTTCTGATTGGTCGAGTCCACCGAAGATTCAGAGGTGTCACTCCCAGCGGGGCCGACCGACGACTCCCTCGACGGGGTGCTGGCGTGCCGCCCGGGGGTGCCGTTTGGCGTACCGTTTGGTGTGGACATTGTGGAATGTTTAACGCAAGAAAACCTGAAGTTTTCCCAAAGTTAAGCAGAAATAAATGGAACAAAATAAAACCTTAAAAATATCCGTTTATTTCGTGTAAATCCTCAGCATTCAGAAATCGTCAAACTCACAAAACGAATACCCATATATAGGTGTGACACAAGTAATATAAGTTTATTTTTCCAACGCCTGCTTTACCTGAGTCAAATAATCACTTGAAAAAAACCAAAGCGATATAGTATCCACAAAGGTAATCCAGTATCCATAAGAAATAAGTGTATCCTCGTAATCAGACGTAAACAATGTTCAATTTAATGTACGTTACTGTATCACTACATAACACAATTCAATATGGTCCTTCTAAAATACGAAACATAAAATAAACACATTCATAAGGACGTAATTAGTAACAAAATGAACAATTTTCAAAACCGAAATGATATTTTTACTACTGCGGTTATATACAAAAACTTATTTAAAGGAAGTTAAGAAAACGGCAGTAGTCTATAGACATAAAGCAACTTCAAGGCGCCGACATATATAGACACACAATAAAAAAAAAAAATGTAACTTCACAGTGAGTACACACAGCGTGTACCTGTATTGTGTGCCAGACTACACAGTGAGTACACACAGCGTGTACCTGTATTGTGTGCCAGACTACACAGTGAGTACACACAGCGTGTACCTGTATTGTGTGCCAGACTACACAGTGAGTACACACAGCGTGTACCTGTATTGTGTGCCAGACTACACAGTGAGTACACACAGCGTGTACCTGTATTGTGTGCCAGACTACACAGTGAGTACACACAGCGTGTACCTGTATTGTGTGCCAGACTACACAGTGAGTACACACAGCGTGTACCTGTATTGTGTGCCAGACTACACAGTGAGTACACACGGCGTGTACCTGTATTGTGTGCCAGACTACACAGTGAGTACACACGGCGTGTACCTGTATTGTGTGCCAGACTACACAGTGAGTACACACAGCGTGTACCTGTATTGTGTGCCAGACTGTATGGCACGCGGCTTTTACTACCAGGTGATACGCCGCTCACGACGGTCATACACGCCAACACACAACTCGGCTTTATTTTCTGTGAAAACAAACTCATTGCCGGCATTCGGGTACAGATGTTAAGAAACACGAGATTTACATCTATACAGATACTGAGAAAATGGACTTGTATTGCAACACTTGAACAAGAGCCTGCGTGAAAACACATCATTTAGTTGAGAAGACATAAAATACGTAATTTACTTGAGTAGACTTATGGGGAGGGGGGGGGGGATATTTTAGTGTGTTAATATACTTCCAGATTATCATTTATAAATAAATTCCAATATAAAGTTAAACAAATATGTGTGTGAGGGGGGGGGGGGGCGGCTGCAACAAAATCTAAGAAAACCCATCACAACAACACTAGCAGTATTCGCAAACACTGGAACATAAGGAAACAAAAATGTGGAAACGCCGTGTTTATTACACGAGCACATCTCCTGACGTTTTACTTCCGGGTGCCGACAACAGCGGCATTCATATCCAATGTACGTTGTTAATGTGTGTTAAACAAAAGGGAGGAAACTACTATTGCGTTATTATCAAAGATAAAGGGAGATGACTGTTGTGTTGCTATAATATAATAGCGAGAAAACAACGAAGCGACGAGCCTAGAACCCCGTGACTCACGCATCCTTCAGCGTGCTGGCTTTTTAAACACCCAGGAGTTGTATTGTTTTTTTTTTCCTTTAAATAATTTAACGCCAACTTGATTTTTAAAACTATGTTTTTTATAGAGGGTATTTCGTTCAACAAAAAAAAAAAAGATTTTTAAAAAGTTACAAACTTTCAATATTCAAATGTTTAAGTTCTGAGCTGAAGTAAACAACATCGACATTTTTAGAAAATCTAGAAGACAATGCTGGCAATACATGTGTATACACAAGTATGCTAACCGCGGTTGTATTGATTGTTGGCTATCTTTACTTTAAATACCAAACCTGTAGCAATACGTAAAAAAAAAAATTTGATGTGGACTCATAAATGTTACATCAAAATCAAACAATAAATGAAATATGTTTCTGCTAATTATAATTATAGATATCAAACAAGATAACAACAAGCACATTGTAATCCATTTTTCCGGATATTCCCATAAGCTTATTTATTGAACACAAATCAAAACACACGAATGAAATTTCCGAAAAAAAAAACATTGCAGATAGGAAATTCCCGATTGAGTACTCCGACACAGAAGAAAATATTGGCTAGCAAAAACATGAAAACAAAACTAACACCAACCAAAAAAGCAGACGTCTGTGAAGGAAAAAAAAACTGCAAACAATTGACACAATGCGACCGGGTTACTCACAAAATCCCTCACCCCCCTCGCGTCATCTCAAGTCTGGGAGTGCAAGCTTGATTACAGCTGACGATGTGTTACAGTTAACTCCCCGGATTTTTCCACGAAAAAAAAATGTATAACAAACGTGAGCGCCTCCACCCCTGCGCCCCCGCATGCACTCACGCGCCCGCATGCACGTGAAGATATCAAGGGCGGCTCAATATGCACGCGTTGTTTATTTTTCACGTGCGGTGTCGTACGAATGTTTGTCGTCGTGTCCTTTACGCGAGTCGGTGTCAAGTTTACCAGAACAAAAGGTAAACAGTGACCCGTGGCGTTTACAATACCAATGAAACCACAAGGGATCTAAACAAACATGTTGAACGACACTGGGTTAAATCAAAAGTTTTGTATCAATGAAACCACAAGGGATCTAAAGAAACATGTTGAACGACACTGGGTTAAATCAAAAGTTTGGTATCAATGAAACCACAAGGGATCTAAATAAACACGTTGAACGACACTAGGTTAGATAACTGTGTTTGTTTTTTCGTTGATATTAATTATCGTGTAAGTCAATAAATAATGGTCCCGCGACGTATATCACATAAACTAGTTTTACACCACAAATCTCGATGTTAGTGATGTTCCTGTAGATGAGACATAAATCACAGGGTCGGTCGTGCGGGGGTGTTCTGGATTGCTAATCCTAAAGTCTCGAGTTCGGTTCCCGGTCTAGTGGACGTCAATGGACCCACCCAGCTCTGAATATTAGAATCTAGCTGTAAATAGTCAAATGTACTGCTAGTACTGACCACAAAATTAATCAATGCGACATGCTCAAAGTAACAAATGAGGTTTGTTTTATCTTACCAATAATACATCAGGCCTGTTGTCCGCTTGCCACAATCTACAATACACTCAAAAATGTAAGCGAATCGAGAAGTTTTAAACTTTCTAGATAGAAGAATACACATTCTTAAACACGCGTATACACGGGGAAATAAAAAAACAAGAGAAAAATCTACCTAACTCTGACATCATTAAAAACTCGTTAAGACAGCGATAATGTGTTTTAAACGGCCACTCGTGATGTTCTACTAATGTAATAAACGCTAAACATCTGTAGATCAACTCTGGCACGAGATTCTCGTTATAGCCCACGAGATCAGCATGGGCGTGAATATCTGATAGTTGATAGAACATGTAACTACTCACATGGATCTCAAGCGCTCACAACATGTGTTCGTCAACACGTGCTGCGAGCCATGTAGGCTGGCTAGCATGTGTGTTGGTGAGCAGGAGGGGGAGGTGTGAGAGTGAGGGCAGAAACGGAGAAGTGGACATGAGTAAAGCCGTGATTCAAAACATCTACATTCAGCCTAGTGATACATCATCAATGAAAGAGTGGTTCAAAACATCTACATTCAGCCTAGTGATATATCATCAATGAAAGAGTGATTCAAAACATCTACACTCAGCCTAGTGATACATCATCAATGAAAGAGTGGTTCAAAACATCTACATTCAGCCTAGTGATACATCATCAATGAAAGAGTGGTTCAAAACATCTACATTCAGCCTAGTGATACATCATCAATGAAAGAGTGATTCAAAACATCTACGTTCAGCCTAGTGATACATCATCAATGAAAGAGTGGTTCAAAACATCTACATTCAGCCTAGTGATACATCATCAATGAAAGAGTGATTCAAAACATCTACATTCAGCCTAGTGATACATCATCAATGAAAGAGTGATTCTCAACGTTGTAAATACCTTGTAAAAACTACACCTGACGTTCCTAAAGCCAAACAACCCGGTATATGAGTACTTCATGAGTACTAGACCAGATGTGCTAAAGCCAAGCTACCTTAGTACATCGTGAGTACTAGACCAGGTGGACCTAAAGCCAAGCTACCTTAGTACATCGTGAGTACTAGACCAGGTGGACCTAAAGCCAAGCTACCTTAGTACATCGTGAGTACTAGACCAGGTGGACCTAAAGCCAAGCTACCTTAGTACATCGTGAGTACTAGACCAGATGGTCCTAAAGCCAAGCTACCTTAATATCTCGTGAGTACTAGACCAGGTGGACCTAAAGCCAAGCTACCTTAGTATATCGTGAGTACTAGACCAGATGGTCCTAAAGCCAAGCTACCTTAATATCTCGTGAGTACTAGACCAGGTGGACCTAAAGCCAAGCTACCTTAATATCTCGTGAGTACTAGACCAGGTGGACCTAAAGCCAAGCTACCTTAATATCTCGTGAGTACTAGACCAGATGGACCTAAAGCCAAGCTACCCCTCGTCTTATTCTGATCAAACTCAGGGTGGACAGGAACCGGGTCAAACACTTGACGTATTTGTTGACAAAATCGATACTGGTGTTTTCTTTTTCTTTACGGGGCTGAGTGTACGTAATCAGTGATGGGAATTGTGTGTGGCGTTCTTTATATGTGGTGAGGTATTGTATGATGGGAATTGTGTGTGGCGTTCTTTATATGTGGTGAGGTATTGTATGATGGGAATTGTGTGTGGCGTTCTTTATATGTGGTGAGGTATTGTATGATGGGAATTGTGTGTGGCGTTCTTTATGTGTGGTGAGGTATTGTATGATGGGAATTGTGTGTGGCGTTCTTTATGTGTGGTGAGGTATTGTATGATGGGAATTGTGTGTGGCGTTCTTTATGTGGTGAGGTTTTGTATGATGGGAATTGTGTGTGGCGTTCTATATATTATGTGGTGAGGTTTTGTATAATGGGATTTGAGGCTGGGGTTCTTTATATGTGGTGAGGTTTTGTATTTCTCAAAAGGCATTTCAACCTTCTTCATGCCTTGGCGAGTAGGCTACAGCAGAACGATGTAACGAAATAAATAAATAATTTTTCATTATTTCCTAAATTCTTTAAACCAAGATTTAATATAAAATAGTAAATAGCTTCGATTATTTTAAATATTTTCTTATATTCATCATTATTTTAATCCACATAAAAAGTCGGGGGAGG